TCATAAGATGCTCTACGCATTTTGCCGCTTTTGGTATACGTATGCAATCCTTCACTCATCCAACACTCCCACTGCTTTTCGGACTTCAGCTTTGAAGGATTTATTAACTGACAAATCTAATGGTTGTAAGAATTTTTGTCAAACCACCAGAAATTATTGCTACGGTCGTAGACAGTTTTTGACATCTGGTTTTCACCTGACTCAAGTAAATGAGCACGCATGGAATCCATTATCAATAACCCTTTTGGTTGGAAAAAAGATCCCTTATTACAACACTGCCAAACTTTTTGTAGCCCACTCATGCATGATTGTTTTCGCACATCCATCCATTCTCATTTGCACAAATAATTACTGTCATTAAGGAAAATCTCCCTTCGGAATAGTTTTTCCTTTTAAAAATGGATCATCGGCTTTAGCTTGTCACCGTTTGCGGCACAAGCTAACACACATGTAAATGACGTTCTTTCATGTCCCTGTTCGTAAGCACATGGATACAGTTTTTGCACCAGTTTCATCAACAGTTCTGTTTGCAGGAGAGTCAGAAAGCTAATGGCATTTTCATCCATATTTATTATCTGTGATGCCGAAGAAGTTTTCTTTTGTCAATAATATCTGTCACATATTTTAGAAAAGATGCTTTTTTTATCCTGCCAGTCCATTGGTATCATTGGTTGCCATTGTTGACTGACTGTTAATCTAGTATACGCACAGAAATATTTTTTCTTTTCATAAATTCTGCTATACACCAGCAAGGCCTCCTTTGAAATCATTTATGTTCATTTGTTTTGCCATAAATTTTGCTTGTAAGCGAATTTTTACAGTTCGAAATTGCCATTCCCTTTTTTTCGTTGCTCCTTTATTCCAGCTTGCAAGGTTCGTCCTCTAGATTTCGGCCTACCTTACAGTACCACTTCTTTTGGCTCGTATTCTGTTGTGGACATATTTTTAAGTCTTCTTTTTCAGTTCTCCAACGTCGAATGCATCTCTCGTCCATTTCAAACTCTCGAGCTGCTGCTCTATTTCCAATTTGTTCAGCACGTGAAATTACATTAAGCTTAAAACCAGCAGTATAGCTTCTGTGCCGTTTAGGTGCCATTTTAAAAAAAAATCCGCTCTTACAAACTATCCAACAAGTACTTGTACTTAAAGTTAAAAACTATCCAACAAGTAATTGTACCCAAACTGATGGGATCTGTATCTGGCAGAATGCCAAGAAAAATCCATTCATGCTGAAGGGGAAATACGTCAGAGTTCGTTATTGCGAGGCAGGTGGAGTCGTGTCCGCCTTTGGAAAAAATTGCAGAAAAGGCAGGGGTGGAGAGAGGATGGTTCCTGGAAGATTCATCGAATGGCAGAGGAGAGAGACTATTCAAAATGATGAGAATGCTGATTTCAAAGGGGGAAGAATGTTATTGTTCTGAGATCCCGTTTAGGGTGAATAAGACATGTAGGTCCGTTCAAGGGAAAGAATGTAAACAAAATAACGTTCGCAAAAAGCAACTGAGTGGTCTTTTGTGTTGAAACAACTGAGTGGTCTATGTACAATGACAACGCCATCCAAACTATGTACAATGACAAAGTTATTCAAACTATGTACAATGACCATTAAAGGAAATATTTAATTTTTAGTGCACCTAAACGCCGCATGGGTAGAAACGCCGCACCCGCTGAAAATTTAAGTTTTAAACATGTAAACGCCGCGGCGTTTCTTCCGGAAATTACGGTACTTTGGCACGAGAAAGCCAACGTGCCTCACAATAGTATAGAAGTGATCTATATTCTGAACCCATGTCATCACACAATTTTGCGAAAAGCCTTCCTCTTAATGGGCTATTTTTGATAAAATTTAGAACTCTTGTAATAACTTCAAATACTGTTAGTAGATCTTCACCCATATCTCTTGAAACAAGTGATTGTCTATGAATCATGCAATTCGTCCAAACTGCACGAGGAGCCACCTTTCGAACTAGTGCCTGTAGACCAGCATTTTTTCCTGCCATAGATGGAGCTCCATCTGTGCATAGTCCAACACAGTTCTCCCACAGAATGCCATTTTCATTAAAAAAATTATCAATGATTTTAAAAACTTCCCTTGCTGTAGTATTGCATTCAATAGGTTTACAGAATAACATGTCTTCTCTAACATCAGTTTCCACAACATATCTTACATATGTTATCAAGTGTGCATCCTTAAGAACATCGGTAGCCTCATCTACTTGCAACGCGAAAGAAGATAGTTTTACTTTTTCTATTAATTGATCGCAAAGATCTTCAGATATATCGGATATTCGTCTTCCCACCGTATTATCTGCAAGTGGAATGATTTTAAGTTGATCAGCATATGATTCACCGAGCATCGTTTCTATCATGTCAATAGCTGCAGGTAGCACCAAAGTTTCTCCTATTGAATGGGGTTTTTTGCATTTAGCAATTCTATAAGAAACTTTATATGACTCAAGCAATGCTTTTTGTGTTACAGACATGGTCTTTGAAAACATTTCTTGTTGTTTATTTAAATTCTCTAATTTTCTTTGGAAAAATTCTCTTGTCTTGCCAACGTGATCTGCATAGACTTTTTCAAGATGTCGTTTTAATTTATTTGGTTTCATGCTGTCTGAGGCCAAAGTATTCATACACAGCAAACACAATGGTCGTTCTTCCCATTAATAACCTTATATGTAAATCCTAATGATAAGTACATTGGATCATATTTTCTATATTTAGGTTTACTATTTTGCAAAGATGTATTTCCGATATTTTCATCATCTTTTCTTTTGCCCTCTGCTTCTGCTTCATTTAAATTTCTTTTCAAGCCAGTTACGTATTTATCCACCTAAAAGGGATATTATTTTAAATCAATGACTTTATATTAATTTAAAATACAATACAATTATATCAATATTTTCTTTTAAATTAAATATCAGTCTTAATTGGGATAATTTTTAAATGTAGAATTAAAAACATTTTTTGTCAAAATTAATTACTGGAATATAAACAACATAAAAATAACTTGCGCTCTTCTTACATAACCGTGAATTTTTCCAATAACAATATTCATATTACTCAATTAAAACGGTTACTGGTAAATTTACGAGAAAGTAAAAAAAGCGCTAGTAATGAAAAAATAGTATATTAACATCGGCCAGGATGTTATTTTATTGTTTCGGATGTTTATAACCCTGGCACTTCAAGCTGTGCCGAAAAACTACCTCAACATTAAATTTACATTTCCTGGTTAATAAATTATAACAGTTATGAAATTAATTTACTATTATAACAGTTATGAAATTTACCTCAATGTTAATTTATTTAGAAGTTACCAAAGCGAAGTGTTTCATTCTATATATCAACGTGGTTATCGCAAGCACTACCAACGAACTAATTCTGTTCATAGAAAACAGAAACAATCAGATGCTTCTGTTTACTGAAGTTTGGCGCGAGTAAGCACGAAAATACCCGGGATGTTGCGAGTGCTTGTCTTTTGATTCCACGCCCCACCGGTGCTCGGCTCCAAACGTGAAAGCGAGATATTTCGTTCCAAGAAGAGTATGGATGGTGTAACAGTAAGTTCAAATGAATAAAGGTAAAAATATCTCTTACCTTTTCGAATCCGGGTGGCGAGTATTCCATCGACATGAAGATCGTCAAAACTTTAAACTAAATTTAAGGCACATCCTTCTATAGAGATTACAATAAAATTATTATTATTATATACATATATACAGTCATAATTGATTTACACTTAACATCCATGATAATTAAACGCGCTTTCAGATACAAAGCGGTTCCAATTCTCCTACTGCGTAGCAGTTCGACTGTCTCCTCCTACGCAAATCGAGTTCAAAGTTTTTTAATTAATTCTAAAGTTCGCTAGATGATGCTGGGAGTTCAGAGTCCAGTTGTAACAGATGGGATGTTTTAGCATTTGTACCCGAAAAATTCGCGGCGAGGATTGTGGATTACGTACACTGCTGATTCATTTTTTTGACACCTATTCGACTTTTTTGGTTTGTATTCGAAAATGATATTTTGGAAACAGCTGCATGTCCCCTTGCAACAGTCTCGCGCCCCCAGGTTGGAAACCGCTGTCGTAACTATTCCGTAGAGACGCCACATTCCTTATCAGTAGTCCGTTCTTATCAGCCATTCACACCCTTCGGAGGCCCCCCTTTTCGTGCGTAGGAATTTCTTAAGAGGGGAAAATGGGGATCTCTTGACCATCGATGAGTATAGATTGTGATTTTTGTAACTAAGATCCCCGACTTTTTTTTTCAGGTCTCAAACTTAGAATTATGAGCAAATATAAATACAGTGTGACGGAATTTGTTAAACTTGTACTATAATAAATTACATCGGTTAAATTAATAAATTAATTTTATATTTAACTAATATTTAAGAAAAATAAACTGTATAATTTATTTTTGCTGAAATGCTCTCCCACTGTGTATGGATTTATGATTTTGTCAATTATTTGTTTTTCTGAAATATGCATGAATTTTTCGGAAACGGTAATAGTTAGTGTTACTTTAGTTAAAATATTATGTATATCTCTGTGATGATATATGTCTTTTCTAGTTAGGTCTCAAGATAAGGGCATACACATTACCATGTAGGAATTCATTTATTTATTTATTTATTTTAACTTAGCTAAGTTTGCTTCTTAAAGACACTAATTTTTGCAATGAACTCCTTTTAACTACACTCATGGACACAATCGTATTTTAGGATATTTTCTAATTCTTTTCCTTTTCTTTCTATAGGCCCTTTTTTTTCCCCCTCTATTATTTTTGGGCCATTTATCTTAAAATTTATTTTGTCCCATCCATTGTTCCATCCGAAGTTCCTTTTTACTCTCCTCAAATACGAAATTACCCCTCTTTCTATATACCTTTCCTTCGCACCTATGCTTGATTTTTCGCCCATCGGTGCAGAAAGACTTAGTGGGTGCAAAACAAGACATCTGTCTACTTTGTTTGTCTGTCTGTCTATTTAAATGTGTCTTTTTTTTCATTTGACAGCCGTAGGTCACATTGAATACGTGAGTGTTATGAGATCGAAGTGTGAACTAAACATGCTGTTTTAAATCCTCAAACAAATATTCTGTACAGATTGTAATTTACTTCATTAAGATTCAAAAGAAAAAAAAATGAGTTGTCATTTAGAAGTCAAGTCTGTAAGCATATTTATTTAATTTATACTTCATTATTAAAAAAAAAATCTCTTTATAGTTAACAAATTGGAGGTTAAATTTATGGTATATGTAATTTCTAACTTTTACTCAATAGAATATGTGTTTAATTTCTTTATCCTTTGAATATCATTTTTAATTTTCTGTCTTATTAGTGTTTTGGTTCTTTACATATATTTGAGAAGTATTTAAATCTGTTTATAGGTGTTGTTGTTTCGTATGTCTTTATTCAGAAATCAATCTATTGACATCAGGCCTCTCGGAAATAAAAATAAAATTAAAGAAAAAAAATCAAAATTACGCATTAAAAATGTTAAAAACACTTAAGAATTGCAGCATTAAAATCTTTATAAAAACCAAAAAATTAAGACAAAAATTTCACAATTAAAATCTTAAAAATTCCTCTGTGATTAGAGGCAAAACAACCATGTGCTCAGGCTATAAAATCTCTGGCCATCCAATACAGCTGGAGAACATTACCACTATGTTGTAACTTGTTGTAGGGTCAAAGTCCAGACAGAAAGTGCTGCTTATTCATAGTATCTGTTTTATAGATAATCTATTGGCTATCAGTCAGTTTGTCTATTCTGCTGAGATGTTCGGCTAAGCACTCATGCCCAGTATGCAATCTGAAATTAGTCACAGCCTCTCTATGTATGCCTGTGACTGAACTCATTCCAATCATTCCTGACATTCTCCCAGAGTTTACCCTTTGATTTAATTGATAATTCTATGTAATAAGCTGACATAAAATTATCTTGAATACTTCTAATTGAATGCAAAGGCATGGAACCCTGTTCAATAAATAACTTTGTATCCTCTTTGCCTAGAGATCTGCTTTTTCATTACCATCAATATCTACTTAGGATGGTATCCACAGAAATTCTATTGTTTTTCCATTCATATTTAGTTCCCTGATATCTTGTTTTATTTTTTACACAAGAGGAGGCTCAGAGTGATGTTGAAGAGCTATTGTCTTTATGACCGATTTAGAGTCAACAAGAATGGTGCTTTTTGTAAAAAAGTCAATTCTAGATTTCAAATTAGATACAGCAAAAAAGACTGCATGAACTTCTCCATCAAAGTTTGAAAAAGGTTGACTTACTGGGGCTGTACTGTGAAAACTGTTTATAGTATACACCTTCACCAGCAACATTATTCTTTCTATAGCCATCTGTAAATACATGTATCCATTTTGTTTCAGGATAGCTATTCGGGTGAAGTGCAGAATCGCCCACTTATTTGGCACGTTACATTTAGCGCTTTTTACAAGAGTAAGAAGAAATGGATTTTTGTCAATTTCCTTTGACTTTTTAAGTGAAAATACATGTACATGGACAAAGGGATTGTGTAATGTGAAATTTTTGCAATTCTTTTATGTTTTTTTTTAAGTGAAAATAGGTTGACTTGTACATGGATATGGAGTTTGTGCAATTCTTAGCGCACCAAGCAGTGGGTGATTCTGCACTTTCCCTTGTTATTGTTCAATAGTGACATTTTTTATAGGAGCTTGAGCAATGAAGTTACAATGCATAATCCACTCTGTTTTGTTAATTAGTTTACAAACAGTACCAGTTGGTGAATGTAGTAAATCAACATTTCCAATCGTCAGCAGGCATTAAATTAAAATTGTAACTTTCTAACATTTTTCAACTAACTATGCTGCAGACTGTACAAGTAAATAAATGTGAGTGCTGAGTTTGATGATTGATCCTTTAAGAATGATGAGTCTCGCCTGTGTGCATTTTCTGTGTCAAACTGAACCCTGACTGGTGATGCCTGCCTCATATTTAAATGTTTAAAAACCTTATACATTTCTTTATTATTTAAGGAGGATATTTTTCAGTTTTTATTTATTATCATCATTACTTTCTTCTCTATTACAAATGAAATAAATCCATTTGCATATAAATATATTCAATAAAAATTGAAATATTTTAGTTTTATTATGTGAACACTCTGCACACAGAGTTGCACTAAATTAAATTGTCATCACATGTCTACTTCTTTGAAAGTAAATCTAAGGTAAGGGTGCAATCCAAAAAGTAAAGTTGCTTGTTTGTGGCATTTTTTATTGTATGTGTTCTCCAAGATAAATGTTAAAATTTTGCTATCATCCACACAAGTACTTCGTTTTAAGAAAATTAAAACTTTCTATTTTCACTGTGATCATTACTTTTTACATCATACAAATTTATTATGTAATACATGGAAATTTAAAAAGCTCTCACTTCAGCTTCAAAAATTTTTGCATTATCATTGGTTTTCCAACTTAATAATACTAAAAACTCGTGCTTTTATTAGCAGCTTCCTGCATTAATATAAAAGTATAAACATTAAAATTGCAGAGCATATGTAAATATCATATCTGTTTTGGGTTGGCAGAGACATTCTTTCCAGAACTTCTAAATTAACAATTAGTTGTGAAAATGTAATTCTTTGCACTCTGAGACCCTTTCTGATATATGGGCTGTTAGTCATTTTTGTCTTGTCATTTTCATTGGTAATATAGTATTTTTTTTTTTTTTTTTTAAGTCCTTCATTTTAGCAAAATAATTTCTTTTATGTGTCATAAGCATATAATTTCGGCAAAATAATTTCTTTTATCATTTCTGCTGATCATTGGCCAAAGGATTTAAATCACTGAATGGATATAGCTGTCCTGGTTTTATTTTGTATGGATCAAGGTGGTTTGCATTATGTCATAGCAATGCCATTTGAAATTATTTTTTATAATGTTTGTAGTTAAATTAGAAATTGTTAAAATACTAATGTAGCTATTTTTAGCTTACAGTTGTATTTTGATAATTAAAAATTATAAATAACATCCTGCATACCATTCTTAAATGCATATAAAAAATTAATTCATCTTATTCTTGCTAAACCATTATGTAATAAGTCAAAATGATACTGTAATTATGAACTGGTACAGATTAATTAATGGTATTGATTAATTATGACTGGAACTTTGTTAGGTACCAGAATCGTTAGGTACTATTTGTTCACAAGTTGTTAAGAAGTGTTTTCTTGCTGCAGTCATGCTATCATGCTTCGTTGTCTTCCTTTGACCACATACTTTGTCTTATTTTGCCAACTTTGGTTCTTGTAGTTGTTTTTACAGGTTTAAATAACATGCCATGTCAAAGTCTTTTAATATCTTATACAACTTTGAAGTTATTTTATAGGCAGATTCAACTAGAAAGATGTATGAAAAATATGAGTCAAATTGTTGCCAAGGTTACACTGGCAGAAAAAATTGAAGGAATTTGTTGAAAATTTAAGCTTAAATGATTTTTCTTGCACAATATCTTTATTTTACCAAGCCTGAGATAGCTTCATAATGCAGAATTGCTCGTCTCTGCAAAAAATTTATAAGAACATAGAAAATTTAATTAGCTACTCTTATATATACCCTCAGGTCGCCAAATGCGACGACAAATTTCTCGCCAAAAATGTTTGGCGAGAAACTCCATGCTGCCATATATCTATCTAAATTTTTTGTCCACATTTCGAACTTTAAGTCTAAAATGTCTCCAAAAATGCGGTTTTCGCACATGCAAAAACCACGTTTTGAACACACAATTTAAGCTAAAAATCTGAAACAAAAACAAAAAATTTAGATTGCAAAAATGTAAAGTTTATAACCAAAAATATTTGACAAGAATCCATGTACACAGCAATATGTTTTAAATTTTAAAAGCATCTACGAATTGCACAATCTAGGCAACAAACAAATCTACAAACTACACAGACCTCGCTTTAGTAAATTAACATAACAATAAATTTCAAAGAGTACCATGCACACAGCATCCTGTTTAAAGATAAAAAAATATACGAATTGCACAATCTAGGCAACGAACGGATCTACGAACTAAGCACATCTCGCTTTAATAAATTAACATAACAACAATAAATTTCAAAGAATACCATGTACACAGTGTTCTGTTTCAACTTTAAAAAACATCTACAAATTGCACTACACACTAATCAACAAAATAAACTAAAATGACTAAAATAAATTTCAAACAATTCAAAAAAACAATAATAACGACAGAAATTCATGCTAAAAAAACAACGAACATAACATTCTACGAAATAAGACCAGGAATAAAATAAAATGCACTTACCATGAATGAATGCTTTTTTGAACAGCAGAAATACTAATTTCATACCGCCTTTAACATGCCACCACGTAATCACTATCATATTTATATGACAGCCAGACGCACTATCCAGAAAATTCATACTATGGTTCACAAATAAATGTTCAAAACCTTCTTTTCCTAAATCTTTGTAAAATTTCCAGCCATCCGAAAAAATACAGTCAAAAGTCTTTAATCCAGACTCGTCGGGACTTCGGCAATTTCGGATTATCGATTTTTCCAGATTATAGATCATCAGTTTAAATCTGGTAAGATGGCATGCAGAAGTTATAAAATTAAAAATATGAAACCGTAATTTATGAAATAAAGAACAATTATGATCTAAAGGATATCAAAATTTACAAAAAAAAAAAAAAAAAAAAAAAAAAAAAAACATTTCTTTCAATGCAAGTTGTTTAAGTTGCTTTGTTTTATGTGATAATACTTTCTCTTTAATTCTATAAACAGACATAATTTCTTCTTCAGTTACAAAGTTCCGCTGGTCAAGTCCTATAATTGCTGTGTAGAGAATATCGACTAATTTGTCAATCGAAATTTTTTCGTTTTCAATAACCTCTGTGTCACTTTCTTCACTATCGGAAGCGAATTATAATGAGGAGGAATTTGATTTAAATCATATCAAAGACGGAGTACATCGAGATAAAATACTACATTTAGTAAGGAATTATAAGACAAATAAAATAAAAACATCTGCCCTGAAGATAAGGATAGTGCTGACGGATCAACTTCCAATTCATTGCGCGCCGTGTTGTTTCCCTTCCCCCGCAGAGCAGCGTGAAATTGATAAACATATTTCGGAATGATTAGATAATCAAAGGATATGCCTTTATCCATTTTTTGCAGCAATTCCACTTTTGGTTTAATGGACTTCGAAACATACTTTCGCTTTGTAGATCCTTTACATATTAGTAAATATATATCGGAAATTCTATTTGACATAATCGAAAGTTCAAGCTTACTTTTATAAAATTCCTGTAACAGTCTGCAAAAAATAATAAGCCGGATCCATTTCGAAGATTAAGGAACAACGCAATCTGCAACATTACCTGAATTAGATAATTTCAGCCTAGCTTATACCATCCGTTATACATTAAACGCGCTTGCGTAAACGTATTATGCGCATGCGCACACGCATATTCGCAGCCGTAAAGGTCTTACGCGCATGCGTCGCAGAAAGTTTGTAGATTTGAGGTCCGGATTATAGATCATTCCGGATTATGGGTGTCCGAATTAACGACTTTTGACTGTAGTTGTATAAGGCTCAGTCCACTCTTTAATACACTGCATCAGCATTTCCTTACTTCTATCATGTACAGCCTATAAAAATAATCTCCCAGACCCTCTTGCAACCACGTCTCTCATTGCAACATAGGCCATTTCAAAATAAGCATGACACAAACCAACGAGCAATTAAACCACTTCAGCAAAAGAGTTTTCAATGTCAAAAGGGTTGCCATACAACATACAATTGCACCAAAAACCAGCGCAGAACACATATCACCATATTTGGTGATCTTAGGGTGCATATAAGAGTAGAGCCAAAATTTAATATAAAGTGAGATAAGGAAAATATTGACATTAGTTTTTAAGAAGTATACAGAAAAATGTACTTTCTGATTATCTGTACTCTTCATTTCACTATTTAGTAGTATAAGCTATTTCTCCCGCTTTCCTAGCATGCCTTCATGGTGTGTTGGTCTGCACACTTGGCCGGTATTTCAGAGGTCCATGGTTCGATTGCCGGTGAAGGTGTTGCTAATTCTTCCTTTTGACTGCTTCCAAAAATACCTAATGTCGCTACAGTGGTGCCCGAACTAAAAGGATGTTGGATGAGGATTCTCCACACCCAGGATTTGGCTATTGAGTCCCCTAAAAACCCCAGTCGTCCTTTAGAAAGGGGAAGTATATGAGGTATTTCTCCCGCTTTCCTAGCATGCCTTCGTGGTGTGGTGGTCTGCATGCTGGACCGGTATTCCAGAGGTCTGTGGTTCGATTCCCGGCAAAGCCATTGCTAATTTTTCATCTTGCCTGCTTCCAAAAATACCTAATGTCTCTACAGTAGGATTGCCATGTTTTTGGCACACATTGAAATATACTTGTGACACTAGCCACTTCATTCATGTGCACACCTTTATATGTGGTTGAGTGCTTGTGGATTTACATATTTTATATTTAGCCTTCTTTGCCGATCAGCATCTACTGGCAACCATGTAGACTTTTTTTATTTCTCATAAAATTTGTTTTCATTACTTTTTATTATTATTTACAAACAGAACAGTATGTAAAGATAGCCTAAAAAGGTTTTTCCAAGCTGTGCATCTCAGTGCAAAGTCTGAGATCCAGAATTGCTGGGACTTCACTGATTCTGGATTTTAGATTATTAATTTAAATCTAGTAAGATGGCATGTAGAAAAAAATAAATTAAAAATATTAAATGGGAAATAATAAAGCATAAGGAAAGCAAATGTAACCCTCCCGAAAAAAAAAAAAGCATGGTTTTAATGTTTATCTTGTTTTATTATAATTTATAATGGATATTAAATTAAGCAATTTCCTTTCCTTTTCTCCTCTTTTTTATTTTATTTTATTTCATTTATTTATTTTTTGTGTTGTTTATGTGCATTAGTACTTTTCTCTTTTAATTTTATATGGAGACAATTTCTTGTTCAGTTGCCTAGCTCAATAGTTCACTTTTGTAACTGCCATGTTGAGGATTCTCACTAAATAGACTACTAAAATGTTTTTATTCTCAATATCGTGTCACTTTCCTCACTATTGATGGTGATATTTTCTGAATTTAAAATTGTAAGATTTTGCCATCTGTTAATTGACTGGTGATTGGGATATTATCACTCCAATCAGTTGCATCATCTTCATTTAACTTTTCTTCACATATTTCATTTATTAGAAAATTTCATGGTTGTTTTCACCGTCTCACTTCATACATTTTTTTTGTTTTGTTTTGGTATGTTTTTTCATTGATATTGTTTTAACATTAATGGATCAGTGATTGAGGCATTGTCATTGCAATGTAAGATTTCAGTAATATCGTCTTCATTTAAAACTTACTACAAAAATTAGTTATTGTTTTAATCATTTCTTTTCTTGCCATTTTATTGAATGTTTGAACATGAAAGACAATGAAATTTTTGTTTCATGAAGCTATTATTATTGAATTGTGCATGTAATCAAGCTTAAGATTCTACACAACATGCATAGTATCATACTGTTAGGGCTTCCATGTTATCTCGCAAAAGCATGGTGGGAATCCATTAATAAAAGAGATAACTATTTTAGCCATTATGGCTGCTTTTGTTTTGTAAAACTGGAAGGAATTAAAATTTAATGTAATTAAAAATTTAACAGGTTATTAAATTAATTGAGTCAATTTTTTATGTACTCTTAATAATTTGTATTCATTTTCATTCATTCAACAATGGATGGTTGTCTGAGTGAAAATTATTGTATATAATTTCTGATTGTATTTACAGAATGAGTGAAAATTAACTCTGTAACAAAAACTGTGAATGATAATAAGGAATAGTGGGAGGTATGTGTAATAAAAAATTTGTGTATTGAAGTCAAATAACTGTCAGGGTACGGAAATTCAAAGATTTTCCATCTCACTGTTACTTTAAATTAATATTGTTTAATGACAGTTTATTAATTTGATTTAGTAATTGTGAATATTTTTAACTTTTAAACTATTAATTACTTTCTGTATATTTGCCATTTTTAATGTATTTTCAGAAATTTGGCCATCAAAAGAAAATTAGTGACACTACAGAGTTTAAAGAACTAACAAAGAAAGATGCTGAAATACAACTAGCGCATGAACTTCAAAAGCTGCTTATGACAGTTTCAACAGATAGAGAGGTAAATTTTTATGCTTTCAGAAATATAATTTAGAATGTGTAATGTAGAAATCTGTTTTTAGAAGCTAAATGTCATAATCATTTGATATATATATACTTACTCATTTTTGTTATTGATCTAGGCTCTAGAAATTTTCTACTGTTTTTGCTTAATGTAATAAAAAATTCTCAAAACTAACATTTCATATGTTAATATCGATGACTTTTAAGGAAAAAGAAAAAGAAACAAGGTGTTTTGACCTTCAAGCTGATAACAGATTTGTGCTTTAATATGAGATTCATTAGTTTTTTTTTTTTTTTTTAATATTCCTGTATTTGCAATGCAAACTGTGTGCATTGATTTATGCTGTCTTAAGCAGTAGGCATGGTTTCTGTTATGGTATGAATATTGATAACTATGCATAGAGGTGTATATGTAAAGGAAATACATACGCCCTTTTGGCAGAAATTAAACTGCAGCAGAGCCCATCCGCCGCAGTTCGCATCCGTCCTCCTGTACTTTTCAGCTTTTGAGAGAAATTGTAATTCTAGTAGGACTGCCCTGGAGCTCTAAATAAAGGGGCTTTTGTATGTAAGTGAAAAAAGAACTTCCGTAGACAAATTTTATTTTAATAATTAATATGTCTTAAAAGTAGATTCTAAATTCTGAATGCATGTCTGTCTTGACACAAGGTTTTTTTTGGTACACAAGGTTTTTTTTAATAAAATGAAGACTTCATCCACATGTTAAAGGCTTATTATCCAGAAAATGGAATGAATTTATGGGATTGGGTAAATTTTTCATCCCTGAAAGTACTAAAAGGGATCAGCCTGGTGTGCATGTGCAATGTTAGTAACTTCCCACTATAGAGCATATGTAGACTTTTTTGAATGATGTAACCCAATATGGAGCCTGGAGTTGTCACTTTTAGCTTTATGTTTGTTTTCACATTGTTATCAGATCAGTTTCAGGGGAAATTTTTTCCCTTGTCCCATTCTGTTTGATAGCTGGAATTATATCAGCAAGACATTGTGATGAGAAAAAATTGGATTCTTCTGGTCTTTGGTTTTGAAGCTATACTTCTCCATTAAATTTCCTTTGATGCTCTCATTTTGTTTCTAGCATTCTCTCTATTCTCATTATTATCACTTAAACTGTTTTATCTATTTTCTTTGGTGTGTTTTAAAAAGAATAGTTTTAATTTTAATCATCCCTTGAAATAGTACATTATCCCATATATTCAAGGTTTAAATGCTTGATGAATGCCTGAGATATTTATTTTTTGAGTGCAATTGTAATTCCAGTCAGAACCCCAAATGAGACAAAGTTTGATATTTTACTTTATTATTTAACTATTTATCACTAATTTCACAATGTATTAAATTTTTATTAATGTTTTAAAATTTTATTGAATTTTAATTTCAATCAAATTATTTTTTTGTTTTAATTATTAGTTATTTTATTTTTTCCTTCTGTTGATGGCCTTCTCTAAGAATCCAGCAGTTCTGACTTTAGAAATTGAGTCCTGAATTTTATTGATATTTATATTTTAAATGTGGGTTTTGTTATTACAATACTGTGAAATACAATGGCAGTGAACTCTAACTCTAATACAGTGTACATATACTCTAATAACTCTAATACAGTGAAAGTTAAAATTATACTAAATTCAAAACTATTATTCATTTTATAATAGAGTCATTGCCAATCTAATGTTTAATTTTGTTCAATTTTAAAATTGGCATGGTTATGTCACTAATTCTTGTATTTAAATCTCTTTCTTAAGGATCGCTTAAATGTGTTATGATTAAGGTGACCAGACGTCCCAATTTAGGCGGAACAGTCCAGATTTCAGACTTCATGTCCCGAGGTCCCTCGCTTGTCCTGACAGGACGCCTTTTTTTCCCCCGCTTTTCTGCAAAAGAGACTCTTAACAAAAAGACCTGCAAAAGGGACTCTTAACGTCAATTTACTCGAATTTGGCACCATGGCGCATTGGTGACGCCTCCCTGATGCTTGCTTCCGATAGAGTTTTGATGTTATCGCTCAGAATATGTGGGCAGCGACCACGTTGGTGGCTAAGGCAAAGAACAGCATGCTCAAAATATTTGTCGCTGAAGCTCCAAGCTGGCGTTGAAGTTCGAAGGTCACGTTTATCAAGAGTCCATAAAACGAATATAGATTTACATTTCTTTAAACTTTGAAGGAAAAGAAAATATTTTTTCACGCAAATAAATTAATTAATAGATTAGTTATTTTGATCAAAAAAAAAAAAAAAAGTGCAGAAGTCCGAGTTTAAATTATCAGGAAAAGTCAAAGAAATGTTTTGTCAAAGAACATTTCTCCTTAACACCATGTTCCTCAATTTCTTGTAAACATTGCGGAGGGGAAAATTCTCGTTGCTAGGTTCCATCACCAAATCTCTTGGCAAATTTTCCCTCCGCTTTCCAGCTACATAATAGCAAGCTGGTTTACATTACGTTCTGTAGAACCTTTTCTTCTTTACATACATGTTCTTTGGCTAAGGTGGTTTGTGCACCTGATTGTCGTGTTTCGGTGGTTATTTATTTTTTCCTCATGCGAGTGACATTATCCGAGTCTCCATTGAGCATCAGTCATGCCAAAATGAATGTCGAAAACTACGTAATAGCAAACTGGTTTAAATTACATTCTATAGAACCTTTCCTTCTTTATATACATGTTCTTTGGCTAACGTGGTTTGTGCGCGCGGTTGTCATGTTTTGGTGGTTATTTATTTTTTCCTCATGTGACTGACATTATTCAAGTCTCCATTGAGCATCAGTCATGCTAAATTGAAAGTTGAAATTCAACGAGGAATTACAAGGCGAGTTTCCATTCATAAAGAAGGTTAGAAGCAACACCGATAGTGACGTGAGGTGCGACAAATGTGGATCACATTTCTCCGTCGCTCACAGCATTCGTGGAGATATAATGAAGCATTTGAATACGGATTGTCGCAAAAACACCCTGAAATTGTCGGCATCGCCAGGTACAATTATGAACTGTTTTTTAAGATCTGAGTTAGGTGAAAAGGAAGCTCAGTTGGCTGCTACAGAAGGTACCTTTGCGTACTACACGATTTATCACAGTCACAGCTTTAGGTCGATAGACTGTACTTTCAAACCAATGCAAAAATGTTTTAATCCAAAATTCACTTGTGCACAAACAAAATGTGAAGCCATTGTCCTGAATGTACTTTGTCCATATGCAATGAACCAAGTTAAGGCAGAATTAAATGTCGCGAATTTTGTGGCATTGTCTACAGACGTGTCAAACCAAAAGGATGTCAAACTATTTCCTGTGATAGTGAGGTATTTTGTGCCACTGTCAGGTGTGAAAGTTAAAATCCTGAACATGCAATCTCTTTCTGGAGAAACAGCACAGACGATTTGCAATTTTCTTGTAAATGCATTACAACGGCAGAGTCTGACAAAAAATGTTGTTGGCTTCTGCGTAGACAACGATAACACGAATTTTGGAGGATTAAAAAGAAGAGGTAGAAACAACACTTTTGCAATATTACAAGATGCCCTCGAGAGGAAACTGCTAGGTATTGGTTGTGCTGTTCATATCGCCCCCAACGAAATCCAAACAGCAGGAGATTGCTTGCAAATTGATACGAAAGCTGTTATTATGAAAATTAATTTATTATTTCTATATCTACACTGTTCGTGTTGAGTCATTCAAAGAATTTTGCGACTTTGCCTGTATATAGTACCAGCGCATTTTAGGATATGGGAAAACTAGATCGGTTATCACTGATGCCTGCAGTAGAGAGTTTTAAAATTGTTTTCTCCACTAAAATCTTATTTCTTGTTGGAAGGGAAATGCCCCACCCTAATCCACAACTTTTTTGAGGATACCTGGGCTGAATTGTGGCTCTATTTCATACATAATATTGCTGCGGTGTTTCAAGCGGCAATTCTGCACATAGAAGCACAGACTGTAACAGCATTGGAGGTATCTTCTGAACTGGATAATTTAATGCATAAATGTACTGAGAGAAGCGCAAAAAGCTTTTTGCCAAAAAAGTACGTATGCTGATTACCCAATTAGAAGAAGAAGGATTGGCGAGAAAAAATGACATTATAAGAATCATTGTAAATTTTTATGACAACTGTGCTGAATATCTGAAAGAGAGGGTTGAGCAATTCGAAGATCTAAATGCATTTAGTTGGGTTGCGTTAAAGGAGCCACTGTCATTGGAAAAAGAGAGCGTACAACTTTTTGGGTGGAAGATTCTGAAGGTTGGACATCAATGATAACGAGTTATTTGACGAAGTAAGCTACATTAGGCGATTCACTTCACCAAAAAAGATTGCAGATTGGAATTGTCAGAAAACTAGTCTCGACTGTCTATGGGCTGAGATTTTTCGTCATTTCAAGGATAAAGATGTGCCATGTGCACAAATCCAGAAAATTATGTAGTTTTTGTTGTGTCTTCCAGGGACAAACGCTGCCAGTGAAAGAGTTTTCTCATCTATGGATATCATATGGACAACTGAAAAAACACAGTTAATACTGAAAACACTACAAGCAATGATATTGGTGAAGTGCAATTTTAAGTTTGGTAGTTCCTGTGATGAAGTCTATGAAAGACTTGTACAAGAGCCAAAACTTCTTAGATGCATTCATTCGTCAATGAAATATGTCTACAGAGCACCTACACAGGATGATCCTTCTAGGTCTGCGGCTGATCAGGAAGGACCATCGTCTGCGTCAAATTAATACACTTGCGGCGTCATGTGCTGGATGGACACATTCAAGCAGTAATGTAGGTAGGAAGTTACAAACTTTTATTTTCCAACTGCTTTTTTTATTCTTTGTTCGCTTTTACTGAAAGCGCATCTGAGTTGTCTCAGTCTGGATCCCAAAGTCTGTGATTGTTGACTTAATAATTAATTCAGTCTGAGATATGGATAAATTATATTTTTTCTTTCAATAATAGAGTCTGTTTAACACACACGCTAATTCACAAATGATGGGTAATTCTTTACAGGACAATGCGACTTCACTAAAAATTTTTCTGCCCTTTTCCCCCCTCTCCCACTCAAATTTGGATTCCTGTGTCCCGCTTTGCCCTACGGAAAATCTGGTCACCTTAGTTATGATGAGTGTTATTAACTCAAAGGCCTTTTTAAAGAAAAGTCCATAAGCAGGGCAAAATTTTTTTATAATTCCTAAAATAATTTTATGGAACATTTTTGTGATATTTACTGTAATTATGGTAACTAATTATTATTTAGTTTTTAGACTTAATGTTAGCATATAATGTAAAAGTACAAAAAGAATACTGTGATATTTTACTGTTTACTACTTTTTTTGTTTTATATCATTTGAGACACGTTTTCACATAATTTAGTTTTGTATCATAGTATTATATAGAATTTATATATGTACTGTTATATGATGAAAGAAATTTAAATAACCAATATCTTGCAGAAATATGAAATCGAATTTGAGGGATACCAAAAATTGTTTAAGCAGTTTTTACAAGGTGTTGGACCATCTATGCAATGGGATAAAATTGAACCTATACCAGCAGAAGCTGTAAGTACTTTGAATCATTTCAACTAATTTTAAAGCAATATCACAAATTTATAAAGTATTTACATGGAAAGAAATAAGAAAATTGTTTTTTTGAAATGCTTCCTATTTGAAAGAGTCTGCAGGAAAAATAATTTACACACATGGCATGTGTGTTTTACTATGTTATTTTTCTAAATACTAATTGATACAGTCTACTAATTAATTAATGGCAGTAATATACAGTGGATGGACAAAAATATGGAAACACCTTGTGAAATGCATGTTTGAAAAGAAAGATTGATTTTAATGAAATATGTAGGTGGCGCTGGCGTTTTTGACTACTGACACCACCTATACAATTTCGTAAATGTGCTAAACAGTTCAGTTGTTGTCGGAGTACTGTTATGTTAGGTTGTCATTGCATTATGTCAGAGTTAACAGACTTCGAATGTGGGCAAATTGTTGGAGCATGTATGATAGGTGCTTCCGTAAGCAAGGTAGCCGAGGTGTTTAGTGTTTCAAGAGGTACTGTATCGAAGATTTATTCCGCATATTTGAAAAGCGGAAAAACATCATCTGCTTAATCACAGTGCGGACGAAAGTGTGTCCTGAGTGATCGTGACTGACGATCATTAAGGGCAATTGTGACAAAAAATAAGAAGAATCACAGCTGCAAAAGTTACTGCTGAAATGAATGTTGTGTTACCGAACCCTGTGAGTACCAAAACAATTAGAAGGGAGCTTCATAAACAGGGAATTGCTGGCCTTGCTGCAATTTAGAAGCCACTCATCAGTGATGCTAATGCCCGTAAAAGGAAAAGGTGGTGTTTAAGTCATAAAGCCTGGACTATAGAGCAGTGGAAGTGAGTAATATGGTCTGATGAGTTTTCTTTCACATTTTTTCCCACTTCTGGCCGAATTTACGTTTGGAGAACGCCATCTCAAGCCTATAATACAGACTGCTTGTTGCCAAGAGTGAAACATGGCGGGGTTTCTGTTATGGTTTGGGCAGCCATATCGTGGTTCTCTGCTAGCCCCATGATAACTGTGTCAGGGCACATGACTGCCAAGACTTATGTGAACATTTTGGCCGATCAAGTTCATCCCATGGTACAAACTTTGTTCCCCGATGGTGATGGTGTCTTCCAAGACGACAAAGCCCGTTCACACAGCTCACATTGTCCAGGACTGGTTTTCTTAGCATGAGGATGAGTTGTCCCATCTCCCCTGGCCACCACAGTCACCAGACCTGAATATTATCGAACCTTTGTGGTCTACATTGGAACGGAAAGTGCATTCTCGTTATCCACCGCCAACATCGTTATCTGAACTTGCCACCGTTTTGCAGGAAGAATGGTATAATATTCCCTTGGCAAACATACAGGAACTGTATTTATCCATTCCGAGAAGACTGCAAGCTGTTTTGGATGCCAACGGGTTTCCTACACCATATTAAGTAGAGAAACATGTTTTTTTAAAGGTGTTTCCATATTTTTGTCCAACCCCTGTACAATTATACATTGATAACATATAGTAATGATCTTTAAAATGTAGTTTATGAGTTCCTAGTATAAAAGAAAGAATGTTTTAAATTGGGGTGAAAAAGTATTTTTCTAATCTTTTGTTTCTATTGAAAAATATCAGTTAAATTTTAATTCTCAGCAAGAAGGTAAGCTTAAATGTCTGAAGTAGTTCTGTTTGGGGTTTAGGAAACAAAAAGGTGAGTGCAACACTATTATAGTACTATAAGGCAGCCAAATGTAGAGCTAAATCTCAGATCATTTCAAGATTTTTGTTTAATATTTTTTATTTGATTTTTGAGAAGCAAAATTATTCATGCAAATGAATTTATCTTTGGCTCTACTATGCACCCTAAGATCACCAAATGTGGCGATATGTGTTCTGTGCTGGTTTTTGGTGGGATTCCATGCTGTGGGATGGTTTGGTGGACGACGCTGTTTGTATGGCAACCCTTTTGACGTTGAAACTCAGAGACGTGGTGGCAAGATTTCAGTCGCGTATTTTAGATTGTGTAGAAAGTAAATTTAGTATTAAAAGGTACGATGTTGGAGTTGTTAATGAGTCTTTTGTTCACTTCTGTGTTTATGAGGATCGAAGTGTAGTTTGGGAATTTCTGTGGGACTTTTAAAACAGAGTCCGAAGTGCGGAGCTTCTAGAGAACTCAGATGAAGAAGGGAATTTCTGATAGTTCTTGTGTTGATTTGCAGTCAAATGCTTGCTGGTAAAGTATGTGGCTGTCAGCGGAGTTTAAGTTTAGGATTGTGGTTTTCGTGTAGTAAGTTAACTTTGGAGGAAGTTTTTATCATTACTTACGAAATTTTGAATCACAGAAAGACATCTGATATAGCAAAATCGTGGCACTTTTGTTGACAGACGTTGTGTGAGTTTTATTCACGTATGTACTATGGTAAGTGCATTTTATTTTATTTTTTTTATTTTGTAGAATGTTATGTTCGTTGTTTTTTTACTATGGATTTCTGTTGTTATTTGAATTGTTTGTAATTTATTAGTTATTTTAGTTTATTTTGTTGATTTGTGCACAATGCCTAGATTGTGCAATTCGTAAATTTTTTTTTTTTAAAGTTTAAACAGAATGCTTTGTACATGGTATTCTTTGAAATTTATTGTTGTTATGTTAATTTATTAAAGCAAGGTGTGCATAGTTTGTAGATTCTTTCGCTGCCTAGATTGTGCAATTCGTATATATTTTTTTAATTTAAAACATATTGCTGTGTACATGGATTCTTGTCAAATATTTCTGGTTAGAAACTTTACGTTTTTGCTATCTAAATTTTTTTGTTTTTGTTTCGGATTTTTAACTTAAAATGTGTGTTCAAAACGGGGTTTTCGCATGCGCGAAAACCGCATTTTTGGAGACATTTTAGGTTTTAAAGTTCAAAATGTAGACAAAAAATTTAGATAGTAATATAGCACCATGGAGTTTCTCATCAAAAATGTTTGGCAAGAAATTTGGCAACCTGAGGGCGCATATAAGAGTAGTTCCTTATCTTTATCCAGTTTTACATAGATTCATAAACATTAACATCCCAGTTTATATTAATAAAGCCTACACAAAACTTCAGCTCACAGCACTATACAAAACAAGCCAAAATTAAATCAGGAAAGAAAGGGGGGAAGGGAATATTTCTCAGGAAATACACAAAGTATTTTAATGAAATAACCTTGTAGAGACATTAGGTAAACTTGAAAAGCTGGAGAGATGAAAAATGAGCAAAGGCCTTCGCCGGGACAAACACAAACCTCTGAAATACCGACGTAGCGTGCAGAGGCACTACACCACAAAGGCACGCTAGGAAGGCGGGAGAAATACCTTATATACTTCCTCTTTTAAAGGGCGACTGGGGTTTTTTTGGAGACCCAATCGCCAAATCCTGCGTGAGGAGAATCATCATCCAACACCCTTTTAGTTAGGGCGCCACTGTAAAGACATTAGCTAAATTGGAAAAGCCAGAGAGATGAAAAATGAGCAAAGGCCTTCGCTGGGAATTGAACCATGGACCTCTGGAATACCGGCCCAGTGTGCAGAAACACTACACCACGTAGGCACGCTAGGAAATATCTTATAACCTGATATAAGAATGTACATTTTACATATGATAAAATACAAGGTAATAAAAGGGCAATTTAGTCGTGATCTTTTCTAATCTTTGGAAGTCAAAAAAAGAGCTATGAAAGAATAATCTTGAGCTGATGTACAGATATTCCTACCAATGAACTACTATACTCTCGTTGTTATTTCTATGTGTGCGATATTGGTACCGTCAAAAATACCTAAAAGCTTACATGCCTGAGGCAGCATGTAATCCTTTTACTTTTTGATCAGTCTGCTATGAGCTATAAAAGTACTGCTTTCTTGCAAGGGCATCACAGTGCCAATGAGGTCTCTTGAACTTTGATATCCTCTGCTCCAGAAGGACAGTTGCTGGAATTGTCCTTACTGCATTCTAGTTCCACTAGATGCAATAGGCGAACTGGTCTTTTACTTATGTTGTCATTAGACAAATGAATAGAAAAGACTGTGATGTTATCATCTCATCCTCGATAAATCTCAGTAATGACTCCCATCTTCCATAATAATCTTAGAATCTTGTTTTCAGTATCAACACAATAGTTCCATCTTTCGGATACACGTCTTTTTTTGCCAACTTTGAGTAATGAGCAGACCTTTAGGTTCAAAAAATCTTGTTGCCATTTTCTGCAAAGTGTTAATATTCTGTTAATATTTGTTGGTGTTTAAATCAGTGTGTACAACTGTCCTTTTCTGAAATCTATTTAGAGCTTTCTTGTGATAGTGATAGTAACCATCTTTCTTTAAAAAGTGTCCAGGATCTATAGCTTCTGTTTCTCTTAGATTTCTCTATTTAATTTATAAATGTTTAAAGGTGTAGAATTCAATATAGCTTTACTTCTGTTGTCACTCTTTCCAGTTCACTGAATGTCAGAAATGATATGCGTCAAATTTTCTTCAAAATAATTTTAAGAGATTAAACCATATATTCCCAGAATCCTTCCTGCCAAGCTGTCTTCTCAATAATAAACTTCAATTCTATTCCACGTTCAGAGAATTTATTTTGAGTTTTATTATCCTTCATCAACTATATCAATGAATCTAATTCCTTCTTCACTCTTTTAAAGAAGTGGAAATTTTTTGATTACCAATAGATGATGTACACATTAAATGTACACATGAAATGTGACGTGCCTTTTTCACTTCCCGCAGACCTACTACCACAACTTCCCTTCTCTTTTTTAATTGAGATACTAGTTGGATATGAGAAATTAAGTTAAATTATTTGATTCCTTGAGTATCACCATATGTTGATTGTGCTTGATTAAATTTAAACTGAACTACTGATGAATGTAAGTATTAAACATTTGATGTAACACTTATTTAAACCATTTGATGTTGATCATTTAGATCATAAGATTTTGGTTTTGTCTGCATGGACTACTTTGCACAAAACTTGTTATGTAGAAAC